TTTTTTCTCCCTGTTCTGATAGGTCAAATGTAGCGGGAGATTTGAACCCAAGACCTTTAGGGCTGATATTTGGACATCGAAGAGCAGAACCTGGTGTTTTCAGATGTTTGGGACCAATTCTCATCTCCTTCCTTTCTTCCTCCTTCCCTCCCTCCCTCCCGTTCTCTTGACCGCTCACCCTGCTTATTTTCACTTTCACTTTCTCACCTTTCCCCTTTCTCTCACTTTTGTTCCTGCTTACATTCACTTTCCCACATTCCCTCATTTTCTCTCACTTTTGTTCCTGCTTACTTTCACTTTCACTTTCCCGCCTTCCCTCCTTTTCTCTCACCTTTGTTCCTGCTTACTTTCACTTTCACTTTCCCACCTTCCCTTTTCTCTCACCTTTGTTCCTGCTTACTTTCACTTTCACACCTCCCCTCTTTCTCTCTCACATTTCTTCCTGCTTACTTTCACTTTCACACCTCCCCTCTTTTTCTCTCACATTTGTTCCAGCTTACTTTCACTTTCCCACCTCCCCTCTTTTTCTCTCTCATTTCTTCCTGCTTACTTTCACTTTCACTTTCCCACCTTCCCGCCTTTTCTCTCCCCTTTGTTCCTACTTACTTTCACTTTCACACCTCCCTCTTTTTCTCTCACCTTTGCTCCTGCTTACTTTCACTTTCTCACCTTCCTTCCTCTTCTCTCCTTTGTCCTTGCTTACTTTCACTTCCTCGCTTCACACCTTTTCTCTCTGTTCATGCTTGCTTTCACTTTCTCCCCTTCCCTCCCTTTTCTTTCTCATCTTTCCTCCTGCTGGCTTTCGCTTTCATCGAATGTACCCTCCCACCCTTTTTAAATCTCTCCTCTTTATTCCTGCTTTTACTTTTACTTTCACTTTCACTTCACCCGCCCACCCTGTTTATTCCTCTTCTTCCTCCCAAGAGTGCCCCGAAGGCTGGTTTGGTCCCAACTGCCTCCAGCGATGCCAGTGCCACCACCAAGGAGCCTGTGACCATGTGGGCGGGGCCTGCGTCTGCACCCCAGGCTGGAGGGGAACATTTTGTGAGCGGGGTAAGTTGGACTCTTCGCCCCCCTCCCCAATATCTAAAGCCAGCGGGTGGCTTTTCCCAGGCACTAAAGACCTTCCAATTCTCTCTTCTCAGCTTGTCCCAGCGGCTTTTTCGGGGTGGACTGCCAGCACGCCTGCCGTTGCCTCAACGGAGCCCGCTGTGATCCCGCCACGGGCCACTGCCACTGCGCCGCGGGTTGGATCGGGCCACACTGCAACCAAAGTGGGTCTCCTGGCAGCTGGGCATGAAAATATGGCATCTTCCTTGTCTGCCTGGATCCGAACTCTCTCCCTTTTTCTTTTCTTTCTTTTCTTTTTATCCTTTTTATTTTTTCCTTCTTTCCCTCCTTCCCTTCTTTTTATCCTCTTTCCTTCCCTCCTCCTTCCCTCTTTTCCTTACTTCTCCTCTCCCTCCCTCTCTCCCTTTTCTTTTTTTCTTTCTTTTCTTTTATCCTTTTTATTTTTCTTTCTTTCCTTCTTTCCCTCCTTCCCTTCTTTTTCATCCTCTTTCCTTCCCTCCTCCTTCCCTCTTTTCCTTACTTCTCCTCTCCCTCCCTCTCTCCCTTTTCTTTTTTTTCTTTCTTTTCTTTTTGTCTCTTTTTTCTTTCTTCCTTTCCTTCTTTCCCTCCTTCCCTTCTTTTTCATCCTCTTTCCTTCCCTCTTTTCCTTACTTCTCCTCTCCCTCCCTCTCTCCCTTTTCTT